GGTAGATCTTGGTGACATGATGTTTTCATTGCCTTGTGCCTGTGCTCAGGTTAAGTGTCAGTCCCCAGGACAGATGGTCTGCTCACTTTGCCCACGTTGGGCCCTCTATCTCCGCCACAGAAGCTGGCTAACAGGGCTGCCTGATTACAGCAGGGGGAATGTGTTTCCCTTTTCTAGGATTTTTTTTTTCCGCCTGTGTCATTTCAGCACTCACCTGTTTCAAATGTCTCTTCCCCATGCTCCCCCCACCCCCATCTTTCCCACTGTCAAACTCTTCTGCCAAAAACAAAAATAGCTTCAGATTTTTCATTTGTAAGGCGTCCACGTCCTAGTAAAACCTTGGCATTTGAGGCCTGTGCAGTGCTATTGGCTGGAAATGGGGCCGCACTGTGGTGCCTGTTGCAAGAATTCATACCCAGGTCAGCTCCAGGAGGCGTTGGTGCCTGTCAGGGGGTGAGTGTTGTGGTGAGAGTCTTGGAGAAGCCCTGCTTGAGCTGGGTAAAGCCTGCAGGGTTGTATGGAGGGGGTGGCTGGCATGGCCACAGGCATGGGACACTTTTCCTCCACTACCAAACTCTCTCTCACACACACAGAAGTAACAATGGGGTGATTCCTCCCATTCTGGTACTTTTTACCAAGCGGACAGGGCTTGAAACTTTGGAGACAGCCTGGCCTTCTTTGGGAAGATCGTCCTGGTTTAATACATGGGATAAAAGTTTGACTGTGGGACGAGAGGCTTTTATGATAGATAGAGAGGGACTGTTCTTCCTTCCCCAGTTCTCAATTATTCATCTGAGAGTAGTTTGTAAAATACCCAGAGACTTTGGCGAAGAGGAGATTGGCATGGGGAGGGGAGAGTAAAGTGATGGGATTCAGTGTGGCAGCAGCAGGTACCAGGGAGTGAAGCTTGGGAGTCAGGGTGAAACAGCAGTGGCAGAATGGAAGTGGGAGGGTGCCACTCTCTCAGGGTATACAACTGCATACTTGGCCCAAGCAGAGTATTAGGGGGGTACCTGCTGGTTCTGTGGTCTCTTACTCTTTGCCACGGGAGCCCCCCAAGTTTCTGCCTTTCTTAGCTCCATCCTGGGATAAAGCAAGGATGTTAAGAGTCAGAGGTCCAGGGCCCAGGGTCTGGAGCCCAGGCCCCTTTTCCCTCCAGGGGTGTGGCCAGGGGTTCTGTGAATGAACTGGGCCTTTGATTGCCTTGAGTTCTAAGCAATGCAGGCTCTGTGCCCCTTTCTGGGCACCAGCCTCATCAGAAATTCCCAGAAGTACCTCTGTTAAAAGGAGGCTCAGACTAACTCCATCCCCACAGCAACAAACCCAGAGGCTCTATGGCTTGCTTTGCAGGGGCCACCGTGAGGAAGAGATCTTGGTGACACCTGAGCTACAGGCTTGATGTCCTGGATCCAGTAGAATCAAGGATTACTTGAGCTAGAGATCTCCTTGTCACTTTCTTGTCCAGTTATCTCATTTGACAGATGAGGCTTATGCGGCCCAGAGGATAATGGTGGCTTGCTTTCACAAGTTCAGGTGAGAATTAGAACGGGAGTGCTGGGCCTTCCAGACCCCGTGCTTTCTGCTGCCTGGGGACGGGGTGGGCAGAGCCTGCATCCTGCTCTCTCCTCAAGGACCTTTGGTATTTGGCTACACCTAGGTCAAGAAAGTCATTTGGCAGTGAACTGCCATGCCATGCTGCCATGCTCCGTCACTTCAGTTGTGTCTCTTTGGATTGCAGCCTGCCAGGTTCCTCTGTCTATGGGATTCTCCAGGCAGGAATACTGGAGTGGGTTGCCATTTCCTCCTCCAGAGGATCTTCCCCACCCAGGGATCAAACCTGTGTCTCTCATGTCTCCTGCACTAGCAGGCAGGTTCTTTACCACTAGCACCAACTGATCAGTAGCCTATTGGAAAATTGTCACCTCCTGTATACACAGAACATAGTCACTTTGCAGCAGTCTCAGCTCCTTTCCTGAAGCTTGTCAGCATAAATGCCCATGTCATAGGATTTTTGTGGGATTAATTAACTCTTCCTGCAAAATGTGCTTAAACTGGCGCCCACTGCATAGTCAGTGATCAATAAATGTTAGCTTAATCTGAATTGGAATTATCTTGTGGCCAATCTTTAAACTGCAGGCTTTCTTCCCAAACTTCTCTTGCTCCTCAGAAAACCTAGCTGAGTGTGTGTTTAGGGACTACAGATCTCCTCGTAGCCTAAAGGAAATACAGGGAGTTAAAAGGGTACATTTCTCGAAGAAAGATATAAAATGCATGGGATGTGTTCCCCAATCTTCTATCAGCAGCATGTGGATTACTCATTGCCATGGATAAACGATCCCCCTGTTCTTTCCTCAGTTCCCGTAATCAAGAGCTCATCAGGCCTGCACTGTTTTTCTGTTCTCTGACTGGTGACATTTAGAGGGAATGTCATTGTCATTCCTGATGTCTTCTGTGGCACCTGAATCACCTCCCTTTATGAGGAAGCAGAAAGTCCTGTGAACATGCTCCTTAGCATGCAGAGGGGAAACTGAGGTAGAGGTCGGCTCCTTGGGAAAACTCCACTGAGAGCCACAGTGAGTCAGAGGCACTTAAATTGGGTTCATTTTATTTAGATCTGTCTTCAGAGTTTACTGAGTGGAGAGAGAATGCCCACCCTTGAAAACCCTGATGGTGTGGAATAAAATCGATGGATTATAATTGGCATCTATGTAATCGTGATTCCCACCTGTCTTTTATTGTGCCCACTTTGGGGGATCATCGGCAGGTTGAGCACGTACTATGCTACCTCCTGACTTGTCATGTAAAGATAGAAGCATCATGGCTTTACCCTTAAGGAGCTTTGTGTGGGATGGGGAAAGCAGGGAAGAGGCCTGGCTATCCCCTTGAACTCCACATTGAGACGGCCCGGGTTTAAATCTCCCTGTCTAATCATCACATCCTTCAGCCAGTTATACCTCCTCATGCTTCATCTTCCTCATCTGCAAAATGGGGATGCCGGTGGTGTCTGCCCCCTGTGGGTGTTGGTGGGGTGGATTGAAGTGGTCCATGCCATGTAAGCATGTGACACTGTGCTGGCTGGCAGTCAGCCCTCAGTAAACATCACCTAATATTCTTCTTACAGGAAGACCTTGAGAAACAGGGTAGCACAGGATCTCGGGGCCTGTGGTGTGGGGTCAGACTGCCTGTCCAGGACTGTAGTCCCTGTCCTTCCCCCTTCCAGCTGGCCGACTGCTGAATTTCAGACCTCTTCTTCCTAGGGTTGCTGGGAGGATTACATGAGCTGATCCACTGGAGACAGTGCAGTGCCTGGCATAAAGTCAGCGCTCAATTACTGTTGGCCATGATGATAAGACTCGTGAAGAGTGTCTGTAACCCAGGCGAGAGGGTGATAGGTGCTAGGGAAGAGGAGCAAATAGAGTGTGGAGAGCCCAAAGGAGGAGAGAATTTCAGAGTGGGGAGAGGAAGACGCATCACAGAGAGAGCAAGGCACAGGGGAGCTTCTAATTGGAGGGCTGGGTGAAGGGGAAGGATAGTCCCAACAGAAGGAAGAGTGCCCACAGACAGACCCCCAAGGACTATGCATGAGCCCATCTAGGATCTAGGATAGGTGCCTGGGACATGGAGCTGGCATGATAAACCAGGATCCATTTGTGAAAATGCCAGAATGCCAGTCCAAAGAGTTCAGACTTGATTTGGTAAGCCGTGGGAAGATCTTGGTTTAGGAAGATTAACCTGAGCAGGATGGATTTACTGGGAACAGGAGAAATAGGGGTCAGGAGAATGAGAGACAAAGAGACCAATGGGAATGAGGTCTCAGGCAAGCGAGGCCTTATGAGAGCAGAGACCTACTGTCTCATTATCTGGCAATTATTTGCATCTTTGGATGCAGCAGTGAGGAAGATGGCCAAGGTGACAGGCCGGGGGTTAAGGATGCTGTGAGCCAAAGGTGAAGAGCAGCTTTTTGCAAGGAGGTAGAGCCAGCTTCTTCCTGTCCAGTTTCAGAGATCTCCAGGTGGCAGAGTCCAGGGGTGGCTCAGGAATGAGAGAAGGGAGAAATCTGGAAAACTTAGCAGAGTTGGGAGTCAGGAGAAGCAAACAGGGTTACAAGGAAAGATGAGATCAAATCCCCTTACAAGACTGATCCTCTGCCTCATTTATTTAAACCAGCTGAATTACAGAGGGTCCAAATCATTGAGTCAGGATTGGCTCTGTGAGATCAGTTTCAGATCTGGGAAAATGAGCGTGTCAACCCCAAACAATTTCCCGTTGCTGTTCGTGTGTTTCTGTGTCACCACGTGTCTCCCCACAGATGGTATACATTTGGGGATTGCAGACTCATTTCACTACTGTCTTTAAAAAGCCAGACTCGGGAAGGTAAATCTGTTTCCCAAAGCCAAATATAATTCTCCGTGCCATTGTTCCCTCCATCCATGTAGGTGATGGGGAAGTGTGTACACAGCCCGGTTCAGAGAGCGGTGAGTGAAGGGCCGAGGTGGCCCAGCTCCGGAGGAATCTCTGAGGGTGGAGTGAGGCCAGGTGAAAGAGGCTGGCACGGGAAAGGGTATTGTTATATAACCTGAGGGAGTTAGGGATGGTGGGCAGATGGAGACGGGAGGCGAGGAGTCTGGAGATGGCAGTAAGTGTGGATCAGCTTCCTCTGGGAGGGAGAAGGACAATGCTTGGAAGGCAGGTGAACCAAGAATCCAAGAGTCCTTTACAAGGTGGGGGAGGAACCCTAGCCTCCAGCCTCTCCCACAGCTTTCTATTATGGTTCTGAGAGCATGACTGGACATGAGGTTGCCAAGTGTCCCAGCTGAATGTCCCAGAAGGTAGCATGCCACCAGGGTCAGCCTTCTCCATGGAACTTGGGGACAGAACTCCACCAAGTTCTGGCATCTCAGAGAGTTTTCCAGAGTCTTGGGCAGCCCCAGCCTCCTCACCAGTGAGGAGTGGAAAGAATGTGTTTCCCTGATCTCTCTCCTCCACACCCCATTCCTGATTACCCTAGTGGGTGAAGAGAAATAAAAATTAGCATGTTTATCCCACTTTTAAATTCGTTTAATGAGAACTCATTTACCCTCTTCCAATTTAAATTCGTAATGACACCATAACCTTTCGGAGCTGATTATTAACCACGTCTTCCCAGATCTTTCTGCTAAAGAGGCTTTCCCTCCAAGTGCTCCTGAGCCCTCTTGGAACTTGACAATTTGTCAGGCAGTCAACAACATCTGGTGATCCCACATTGCTGCAAGACCGGGTGCGGAATCAAGTCCCCTCTCTTTGGTGGCGACTTCAGTTCCATTCATTTCCCTTCCAGACGTTTGCTGTTTCACTTCCTGATGACCCTTGCCTGTGTCCCATCTCCCACCCGGGCGCAGACAGGGACTCACGAGTTCTCTGCTCTCTCTTCCTGTCTCCAGGGGTCGCTGAACTAACTTCCAAGCTGGTGTGCGGGGTGGCAGAGCAGTGGCCGCCCAGGACCTGGAGTCACCATGGCGGCCGGAGTCGCAGCCTGGCTGCCCTTCGCGCGGGCTGCGGCCATCGGGTGGATGCCGGTGGCCAACTGCCCCATGCCCCTAGCCCCGGCCGACAAGAACAAGCGGCAAGATGAACTGATCGTCCTCAATGTGAGCGGGCGGAGGTTCCAGACGTGGCGGACCACGCTGGAGCGCTACCCGGACACACTGCTGGGCAGCACGGAGAAGGAGTTCTTCTTCAACGAGGACACCAAGGAGTACTTCTTCGACCGGGACCCGGAAGTGTTCCGCTGCGTCCTCAACTTCTACCGCACTGGCAAACTGCACTACCCGCGCTACGAGTGCATCTCCGCCTACGACGACGAGCTGGCTTTCTACGGCATTCTGCCGGAGATCATCGGTGACTGCTGCTACGAGGAGTACAAGGACCGCAAGAGGGAGAACGCCGAGCGGCTCATGGACGACAACGACTCGGAGAACAACCAGGAGTCCATGCCCTCGCTCAGCTTCCGCCAGACCATGTGGCGGGCCTTCGAGAACCCGCACACCAGCACGCTGGCCTTGGTCTTCTACTACGTGACTGGCTTCTTCATCGCCGTCTCGGTCATCACCAACGTGGTGGAGACGGTGCCGTGCGGCACGGTGCCCGGGAGCAAGGAGCTGCCGTGTGGCGAGCGCTACTCGGTGGCCTTCTTTTGCCTGGACACAGCCTGCGTCATGATCTTCACGGTGGAGTACCTCCTCCGGCTTTTCGCGGCGCCCAGCCGCTACCGCTTCATCCGCAGCGTGATGAGTATCATCGACGTTGTGGCCATCATGCCCTATTACATCGGCCTGGTCATGACCAACAACGAGGACGTGTCGGGCGCCTTCGTCACGCTCCGGGTCTTCCGCGTCTTCAGGATCTTCAAGTTCTCGCGCCACTCCCAGGGCCTGCGGATCCTGGGCTACACCCTGAAGAGCTGTGCCTCGGAGCTCGGCTTCCTCCTCTTCTCCCTCACCATGGCCATCATCATCTTTGCCACTGTGATGTTTTACGCCGAGAAGGGCTCCTCCGCCAGCAAGTTCACAAGCATCCCCGCCTCGTTTTGGTACACCATCGTCACCATGACAACACTGGGGTAAGTCGGAGCTGTTGGACTGGAGAAGGGCGGAGGTTGGATTGACGGGGAAACTGTGGATGGTATCAGAGCTGGACACGGAAGGATGGAGTCACTTCCCCAAGTTGTAGGAGCAAGGGAAGTTGCTAATCAGAAGAGGAAGGCGCCTAAGTGATTTGTTTGGGGATGATGAATGCTCTGAGTTGAGTTTTCTTTTAGCAGTAGGGTATGTATTTTACAAAACATGGAAAATTGTCACTATGTCTTTTTTCAGCCGTGCATTCTGTGTATGTGTGTGTGGTGGGGAAGGAGTGAGTGGAGACTGCTGCATTCTTATATGCACCTGAGCTTGCAAGGGCTGCCTTGAGGAGGAAAACAGGGCAGCAGGAAGGAAGAATGCTGTAAGAAGTTCAGTGAGAGTTGTCAGGAGGGTACAGATTTCCATCCACAGGAGACCCTAGAACTCTTTTTGGAGCCTCCCTGCATTTCTCCTTCATAGTATATTTGCAGGCTATTTTCTCTTCTGCCTTATTTTTCTTTTTTGCCACCACAGATGCTCAAGGGCTCAGTAGCTCTGAGTAGACTTTCTCTAAGTGACTCTGAACTTGGGTTTTCTGCAAAGTGGGGCACCTGATTTGTTTTTTTCCTCGCTGAAGGAGCAGTAGTTTTGCTTTCTCAGTCTGTCTCTGTGATGGGATGATCCTTCAGCCTACCTGGGTGATGGTGAGATGGTCTGATTGATCATGTGGTCAGACACAGTAGCAACAATATCATCAGTGGGAGGGAAAGGTGCTCAGTGAGGTCACGGGTGACTCTGTCTCTTCTCTCCCCAGGGTCCCCTCTCCAGTTGAGATCGCCGAAATATATTTATGGTGCTGGGATATGAAGCTTTCCATCAGAGGATGGTGGGGGGGGGGGGGGGGGGGGGGGGGTGAGGGGGTGGTGCTCAAGAAGCAGATTACAGTCTTCACCCTAACAGGATTAAAGCCAGCGAAGGCAGCTTCATGGAGATGTGTATTTCTTAGGGGCTGCTGCTTCAGCCGTGGGAAGTCATTGAGGCTCAAGCAAAATCCCTTCACAATTCATACACTGGGGCTGTATTTGCTTAGGCCAGGAAGCGTTATATTACTGATGGAGAATTCATGAAGCTTTTTATTTGGTGTTTGACAATTCAGTTGGTGGCGTCCTGGTGATTCATTTTTTTTTTTTTCCCCTGGCTGAAACCCTGTGGCGCTGGTATCGGTTTTTCCATAGTGCTTATTGGGAATGACTGAGCAGGTGACAGGACCTTTTAAAATGATTACATTTGTCATTCTGCCACATGGAAGAGAGGAGCAAGGGGGGGAACGAGGGCTGTTGTTGTCCATTTGTGAAGGCCACATTTGACGGGGGCATTCTGCTCATCTGGCAGAGGCCACCTTGCCCTTCCCTTCCTCTTCAGCACACACGCAGTCTCCCACTAACAGCTTCCACCCAAAGTGGGCAAGGATGTCTGGTCATTTGACCTTGTCTCTCTTGACTCAGGGAGTAGATGTGGCTTCCTGGCATGGTGGGATATTTAGGGATAAGATGGACTGGAGAGCTGGCCCTGTGTTAGGAGAAGGAGGCACATTTGCTGCTTCTCTGCTAACCTGGCCATCCCCTCGCTTTCCTGAAGGGAACTTCTCCATTGCCAGGACCTCCGTGCTACACTCTGACTGTCCAATACCCTTAAGTGCCCCTTGATGGGACTCATGACACCAGTGATGCCTCAGGACTGCCGTGGGGAGAAAACAGGGCAGACGGCTGAGTGTCAGAGTGAAAATGGGGCCATTTCAGAGGAGATCAATGGAAACGTCAGTGGCCACCTGCCCGTTACTTTTTATTATTAGCATAACAGCATATGTGTGTCTACTATGTGTCAGCAGTGTGCTGAGCACTTTGCATATGTTATCTCTTTAAGTCTTCACAACAGCCTTGCAAGGTAGAAAAAATTCCACGTAACTTTGAAGATGCAGCAGGCAAGGCTCAGAGAGGTTAAGTAAATATCTGTAGTCACATAGCTGCTGAGGGGCAGCACCGCTTTTCAAATACCAGCCTGGCTGTCTCCAGGGCCCTTTCTCTTTTCATTTCCCACTCTACTTGTTCCCATACCATCAGGGCATGTAGGTGGAAATCAGTCCTTCGGAGCTTTTCTTTCTTTCTTTTTTTTTTTTTTTAATGGACTCAGGGTGTCATAATCTATTCTAGTCCTATCTCTGTTTAAGAAAGTGTCAACGTGGTGAGGACTACAGGCACCTCACTAGGCACACAGGGAATTTATGAATATATAAAACATTTTCTTCTGGCCAGTTTAAGTTCTGCCTGGGAAATTAATGGCTGCTTTCACTGCAAAATCTATTTACTGTCACTGGGGAGACCAGTGATTTCCTTTAGCCTTCGCTGTGTAGATCAAGGTCAAGTCTAGCGCCAGTGGGTGGACGGTCATGGCCTCACATTTTCTTTTGGGAGGTGAGGGAGGGACAGACCAAGAGGTCTGCCAGAGAGTGAGGACTCTTGCTTGGAAGGACCCACACTGCCCACCCCGACTTCAGGCCCTGCGAGCTCCTCACCCTTCCCTTCCTCAAGCAGCAAGATGTCTAGCCTTAGTGAGGAAAGACTCACAAGCAAAAATGAAACCTTTAGTCATGTTTTGCTTAAACTCCGTTAAGTAATGGGAAAGCAGGCTTTTTCTTCCCGTCCACCCTGACCAGTGTTGGGTGGATCGGGCTGCTTGACTTTGACCTGAGTTGGCGGTGGAACCCATCACCTGGCTTGCTGCTTGACTCTAAACAGCAGGTATTTGGCAAAACTCTTAAATGGGTGAGTCAATGAGAACGGGGCTCCTTCTCCATGTGCTTGGTCTGATACTGTCCTCAGTCCCTTCCAGACCCACCTGTCCTCTCTCTAGGGTGGACCCAAGATTTGTGTCTCCCCCAGTCCTGGCCCCAGGGAGGGAGCAGGGCAGTCTTCATCTGGTGTGTGGTCCCCCCTCCCTGGGATGATCTGCGACACTGTGGAGGGTCTTCTTGCTCTTATCGGAGGTCTTACCCACCCGATCCTGGAAACCGTCCCTCTCCTCTGGCTGCTCTCTGTCCTGAGCACATCCATTGGCTACTTGTAAGCTTGCTGGATCATTCCGGAAAGCCTGTCTTTGCTTACTCTTTGCTGGTATTTGAACCCCAAGTGGCCGTGCAATGCCAAGGGCCAGTGTTCTGCCATGTTCCACATTTTGTTTGGTTGCTTCCAACAATCCCTGGCAGACTCCTACTTCTTCGTGTCTCCAGACCCTTCCCACCTTCCTAGGCTTCCTAGTTCCAGTCTGGAAGGGCTGTCCTGTGGGCCTTTGCTGACGGACGAGTCGAGGGCTGATGTGTTGAGTGAAGGAGTTTGCTCTTCCTGGCTCTGGTTGCCATCTCTCTGCCTGCTTTTCCAGGACCCGCTGATGAGTTACTCAGGTGTCCTCCAGGGAGAGATCTCCCGGAGCCAATTATTCCTATTTATTTAATTTCTCAGAATATCTTGAGCACACAGAACAATAACAACCCAGCTGCCACCAATGGCTTTCCTTGGCCACCTCCCATGCTGGTGGGGAAGACACCTTTGCCCAGCCCAGGGTTCCCTGGTGCCCCCTTGACAGTTGAGCTTCCAAATTCACCATTAAAGGATTAATTTCTGTGCTCATAATTGATGCTATAAATAAAATAAATCCTCAATTATCTCAGTTAACAGAGGGAAGGGATAACACAGAGCTCGCAATATTGAATAAGATCAGCACCTCTAGTTTGGGTTTGTATTATATATCATAGACTTTTTCAAAGCAGATTTTCCCTCTTCATTTTGTTTGACTTTGCTTGACATCACCACTGGGCACACTGTCTGAGCCAGTCCATGGGTGAAGCTCACGTGGGGCATGGGGCAGAGGGGAAGGAAGCTTTGTGAACAAGCATCCACAAGGGCCATCGAGCGCCAGCTCCAGGCCTGGAAGGGATAAAGTGCTCTTGGACATCTTAGGGAGGGGGAATTGGGCTTGGGAAGGGCACGGAGCAGCGTCACTCTAATGAGATGGCCCGATGCCGCCTGGTTGGCTTGGTTATGTAATTGAGACCGGCAGCCTATCTGTCACCCCGTGCCCTGAGATGAGAGAGCTTTTGACAGTGTCCAAAAATCACTTTAACGAAAACAGAATCGATTTTTACTTCTTCCAAGCACGAAGCAGCCTCCAGGTAATTTGCATTTCCCTTTAAAGTCTAATCCTGGAAGGGGCCTGCCTGAGTTTTCAGAGACTGGGAGCTGGGCTTGGGAGATCAATATGGGCACTCCACAGAATGGGGTGCTTGATCAGGCACCCCCAGTGGAACCCATCAGAGGTGGCTTTTGTTAACCCTTCAGTTCCTGAAATTCTGTCTTTACCATCATCCACTGCCTCTGGGGGGTCCACCAACCCTCCTCCCACCTTCCAAGGGCCTTGGAGTGGGGTGTTGGCCAAACAGTGCCCATCTGGATGGTGGTGGGTCCCTGCCTGGGGGATCTGATTATAATGCAATTACTGGGAATAAATGATCTCAGGATCTTCTCTTGGTTTGACATTTCTTAACCACTAGTTCTCTGGTGCTGAAATTCCTAAGAGAGAGTGGAGACCTGCATCCCAACAAGAAATCATTCATTCATTCAACATTTATTGAGTGCCTCCTGTGTATCAGCCAGCACCATAGGCTCTGAGAACGCACAGGCACCATGACTGTTCGTCAGCCCTATGTAAAGTACAGACAAAATGAAAGAGACTCATTTCTCTTTTTTTGAACCAAAACAAGAGAGGGTAGGAAGAGCAGGGTCAGGCTTTTATTCATGTTCTTCCTGTCCCTCCAGAGACTACCCCTTACTCTACTCCGTCTGGCTAACTCCTGTCATCCTACAAAACAGCCCACATCGTCTCCTCCAAGAAGGCTTCCCACATGCACTGCCGTGCATCTTTCTTGCCAACTGCCGCATTTCATTAACTTTGTTTATATGTCTTTTTCCCAGAATATGAGTTCCTCAAGGGCAGGTATCTGCTTCAAAGATCACTTTTTGATCTCTACCTAGCTCAGGACCCGATATGTACTAGGCATCAGTATATATCTGTTCAACCAAACAGGTGTGTACTCTGGCTTACCCATCTTCAATTTTCTCACTTGTTAACCATCTCCTGCCCATTGTAAGAACCAGTGAAAGTGCTATCAGACTGTTAGTGATATGGTCCTGTCTAACAGGATGTTTGTGGGTGGGTGGAAATGAGGAGGCCAAGCAGGGAATTCTCTAGTTCTGATGTCAGTCTAGCAGGGTTGGGGCTTTCTTGCAAGGGAAGTTTCAACCCATGTATTTCACTATTGGCTGCTTGGCCAGGCTCCATGCTGACTCCAGGGCCGGGGAGGAGCAGAAAGGGTGCCATAGATAAGCCCCCCTACCCATCACATTTCCTTCCATTCAGTTATTTTTTCAACAGATACTTGAGTAGCTATTAGGCCCTGGGGATATGGCAGCAAAGGAAACAGCCCCTGATCTTGTGGGGCTTACATTCAAGTGGAGAAAACCAGACAGTAAAGAGATAGATGGATACATACCTACAGATAGGCAATCAGGAAGTAATGCATGCTGCAGAGAAAAATAAAGCGTAATGTCATAAATTGGGGGTGCCAAGTGTGAGAGGGGATGCAGCAAGGGAGAGCTGCTATCTTGTGTGAGGAGGTCAAGACAAGCCTCTCAGATAAGGCTGAATTTGAGCGGAACCTGAAAGAATGTGGGTTTCTTGGGGAGAACATAGCAGGCAGAGGGAACAGCAAACATAAAGGCCATCAGGCAGGAGGGGCCTTGG